CTAATGAGCAGAAACTGCTCCGAAAGACTGATGAATTTAAATACTTCTTAGACAAATGGGAAATTTATTTCTTAGGATATAAACATTTCCTTTCCCCCCCTTGTAAACCTTTTCACCGTAAGATTTCCAGAAAATTTCTGGCCTCTCCGAATCCTTCTGGCGGGAAACGGCTGCATTGCTGTCATCCCACGATGCAGCAGAACAGTGTAGAAGTCAAAAAAAAAAAAAAAAATTATTAACGCTTGGGGAATAATGGCGTTATTGATCTTATGAAAATAGCGAGAACTGCTGTTGTGTAACTGGCAATCCTCCCCCCACCTCTGTGCCAGTCCATGGAGGAAGCGGTTTATCAGCGTAGAACAGCCGCGTTATAAAACGGCATTAGTGAAATCTGAGGGGATTGACCAGATTGGCTAATAAGGTCTCGTTCTCATTTGAACTTTTTAAAAGCCTTCATTTGAACGTAAACAGTCAGCGATGCCATTAGTTTCTGATGAGGCCGCTGTCTTGCCATATAATAAGCATGTTAGGGGGATGCCAGTCTTTGCCGTGTGGTCTCCGTGGTGCGTGTCTTCAGTAAGTATATCGAGATGTGACCTTTGAAATATGGAAGGACGGTGGGAACGTAGAAATGTGCCACTTCTCTGTTGATAGTCACTAATTGTTAATGCCGCTCCCTCAGATATCGTAAAAAGGGATTTATTAAATGTCAGAAAAAAAGCAGAGTGTGTAAACTTCAGACATGAGAGTTACGCTCTCCTAAGACCTCCTGAGAATCCCACGCAGACTGCGCATGCACAGAGCTGGGATTTGAGCAAACAACCCTGGACATGTGAGGCGATGGTGCTGCCCACTGAGCTGCAAATATGTTAACTGATAGGAAAGCATTGAATTGCTGTGTCACTAGAAGTGGAGATTTCAGGTCCAGAGAGTTCAAATACAGACAAAGATTTTGTTTCAACCAACCAGTTCAGTACTCTGTCACTGTGACTCTTTATACTCAACTAGATGGTTGGAACAAAATCTTGGTCTGGATTTGTACTCTCTGGACCTGAAATCTCCACCTCTGGTGATGTGGAAGTGTGAAGTGCGTGTCTGTGTTACATTCTGTGATACAATGCATGTGCCCTCACACGCCAGCGTCTGTCAGGAGTATTTCCAAGATGGCGGCATGAAGAAGGCTCTGGATAAGGATGCGAGGAGTGCCCAACATGCACTGGGTCTCACAGCTCCAAGTCTGGCTCTTCAGGACAGCGCCCCCTGCAGGTACCTCCAGAAAAAAATCCAATCTGACTTCATGATTATTTTTATTATTATTATTTTATTTTTTTTGCTCATCAAAGTACAGGTAGTGAACTTATTGTGGCATGAAAGGAATTAGTAGTTTATCAAGAATGAGGAACTTGAATATTTCAAAATAAAAAAAAAATAAATGCAGGTGCGCTTAAAGAATGCTTAAAGTTGATGTATTCTTGAATTGTCTGCACAGTTTTTGCCTTGGTGCCTTTAAACTGAAGTGAAGCTTCAAATCGCAGTGATGAAAGGGTGTTGTTTTCTTTCAGTTCATCAAGTATTTAAAGGAGCTAACATTAAACATATTTCCAAATTATAGTATAACTTTCATAGCTCTTTTGTAGTTCTTTTTCGTTCTCCATTATTTCCCCTCGTTCGTTTACCTGGGGATGGTCTGACAGTGTCGCTTCTCTTTATGTAATATTCAGACGGGATTAAAATAGATGGAGGATCTGTAGCGTGTGGGTGGTTCGGGGCTTGTGGCTGACTGTGTGTGCACGTCTCTGCACACGTACGCCTATACACACACAAACGCACGCACACACCCATGCTAACATTAGCTGCGTAGCTAATGCAGGGAGAGGCTGCCTGTGTCGTGCCTGCCTGACTGAGCGGGGACCCGAATGGGCGGCGCCGGCATGCGAGGGCCTCGCGGAGGGACGCCGGCTACGTGAGTGTGCGTAACACTCTCTGACGGCCTGCAGGGCGGCCCGAAGCAGAGCGAGTCGACAGAAGGCCTCTGTGGGACGAGCGGTGGGAGTCCGACCGTTACGGCCATTGGAACAGTAATTACGATTTGTGTGGGGAAACCGGCGACGTGCCTGGTGCATATGGTGATGTTATGATTCAGGAACCCCCGTGCCTCTAGGAGGGCATGTCCACACCCCCATCACAATGCAAAGAAACAAATTGGGGTGGGGCTATGAATTCCATTCGCAATTCATAATCGTCCACTGAAAATACGCCATTAATAGCCGAAGATCACGCCGGGTCTAGTGTCAATTCTTGCCAAGTTATTCCAGTTGCAATGTGTTTCTGATAAATACTTTTCCTGTGATGAAGTATAGCGTGTGCTACATTGGTTCACCGTTCTCCCAACGTTCTTCTAACGTACCCTTGAATCTTCACCTAGGGGCATATTAAATAGGACTTTACCGTCCTCTTTGTTCGGTCACGGTAGCTGATTTGCAGCCAAAGCTTTTGTGGAGGAAATTATCGGGCTGCATGACGACGGCCAATGAGAAATCTTTCTTTTTTTTTTTCCCTCCTTCCTGTGAACATCAGTCATTAAGTGGCGAAAAGAACATTAGAGTCCTTTTCATTGGCCCTGTAATTATTGTGGGGGGGTTTAGTCCTCACCTCTGTAATGATATGGCAGCGTTGAGCTTTTGAAAACGTTCTGTTCAGGCCGCCTGGAAAGAGGAGCGTTGTTTTGCTGGTGGGGGCCTAACGCCCACTCTCTGGCGAGGTCGCCGTTCAGCCGTGGGCTGACCGTGTCGCACGCGAGAGGGTCAGCTCGGAGAACAGCGGCTCCCCATTGGCTCTGCGGCGGGGGCTAGGGGGAGTATGAGGGCAATGCGAGCGGCCCGCTCCGCTTTCGGATCTCCTCCGGCGATGTAGCCAGGTGTCGGTTTAGCGAGAACCTGGGCTGCTCGTCTGTTTTCGGCTCGGACGGCTGCCTCAGATGTGCTCTTCCCTTATCATGCGTGTCTCTCCCCAACGCCTCGGGCTGACTCACGCTGGTGGGCGTCTGACATTTTTATCGGGGCCAGCTATGAGAAAATGAAGCTGCTCGACGCCCCCTCCCTACACCCCCTTCCACCCTGCACTGCTGACATCACTCTCAAAACGAATTATTTGTACCTATATTGTGATATTATAGTATATGAAAGATTTACTGATTCATCACCCTTGTAACACATTTAAGGGTAAATCTGTCTTCTGTACCTTTTGTACTAATTACGTTTTTTTTTTTTTTTTTTGCAAATTATTGCCCTGCATTTGCCATTCATCTTGCAGGTTCTAAATTCATTTATTAATATTTCTTTACTTCAAAAAATCTTGGGGTAATCACCGAAGGTGTGAAAACCAGTCGGACAAAGCAGTTTCTTTTCTGAGTGAACGGATACACGCTGTGAAATATCCAATTTGCTCGCCCGCTCACTCGCTCTCCTGGTGTACATAAGCAGCCAGCTATATAAGGCGAAGGAGCGACACTAACGGTTCAGAGAAGGTGACTGGAAGCTTCTTGACGAAGGCAGACAACAGGGCCAGAAGTGATGGTGATGTAGAATGAACAGTTTTGGTACAAACATGCAAATAAGCGTGAGACTCGACATGATCGCCCTAGAGAGAGAGATCCATCTCCGTGTCCGAAGCCCCTTTTGGTGGGATCCATCCTCATTGGCTGCCGCAGTGTATGACACTCTGAACCCCAACTGTCCCCTGGAAGTTTCCAGATGCTGAAAAGTGTCCTTTTACTCTGAGTGGAATTATGAGGCTGGGTTTTTACTGCAAGGTGTATGTCATCAAGAAATAGCTTCCCAGTCAGGATTATGGTGCTCCCACCGTGTAAAGCAGAGTAAGCCCTACAAAGATGTGCCGTCCTTCACCGGGGACTCGTTCGGTATTCACCGGCAATCTTTGGATTGGATCAGGGTAGGAATCCAGTGGCGTGAAGAATCCATACAGGGATCCAGTGAGAGATGTTGAGAACACTGGTCTCTCAGGCCGGCTGCAGATTCATTTTATATAGCGCCTTTCACGATAGCCCCTCCAAAGGCACTTTACGTCAGTGTATGGTGAATTCTTTACTATATTGATGCAGAATAGTGCATGAAACAGGGAAAAGGGAAAATCAGAAAGCAAGCAAGCAAGAAGATAGAGGAGAGGAATCAAAAACTCCCAAGTAGGGAGAAAGTAAAAAACCTGCAGGGGGTCCAAGGTCAGCCGTTCACCCCACGCCTGGGTTCGACATCCTGCTGGGTGCCGCTTATTTTAACTGTAACATGGCATCCCTCGCCCTTTGGCCGAGGACTGGGAGTGAAGAACGTGCTTTTAGGTTCTTCATACAGATGTGAACAGCAGCCAGAATGAGACGCTCCGGCAGCAGGGAACAGAGGAGCCTCCTAACTGGGTCTCTGGGCCTTGAAGGCCCTCCCCATGCTGACCTCATGGGCTTTCAGTGTCCTGTAACCGTCCAGTCTGCTTGCAAACTGACATGTAGCTCTTATTTTTTATTTACCACAGTTCTCCTTCCTGACATCAGTCCTGTCTGTTTTTATTGGCCGCCTGCTGATGGCACTGCTGTAACGTTTGATGTGCTGTTAGGATCCTGTCGTTGTCGCTGTTTTCCAAACCCGCCGACGAATCCAAATTATGTGCCGTCCTCGCTGGGATGGAGACGTTAAGACGACGGCCTGCCAGCTCAGGCTGCCCGCGATTCTCTCTGGCTTCAGCAGAGACGTTTCTCACACTGAAGATGCCCTCCTTCCCGTGCAGATAAACTGCTGACTGGGCGTTTAGTAGATGTGAGGGTTGGGTGGATATCCTGGATTTTAGGTGATGAATCCCTTCTGCCGTCTGTGCTTTATACCAAAAATATAAGCTGTTCCGTCTGCCAGCCCTGCATCACACATCCAGACGTTGCTGTGACCTCATTTCCTGTTTTCTGTTAATCTGGTGTGTTTCCCCTTGTGCCAAACCCAAAATAATTGTTTTTTTCCCTTCATCCCCCTCCCCCATCTTATTAAACCCAGGTGAAGTGCCTCTCCATCCTCCCCTCCTTACCTGGCTCAGTCTTCCGTCCCACCGTGAGCAAGTCTCGTGATGCCGCAGTTTCCGTTCAGGCGTGCGGATGGACAGTCGTCATTTTTGCTATAGAAAAGCGTATTGAAAAGCGTGCGTGCGCGTGCACACTCACACATGCACACGTCACGCCTACTGCCCGTTTTTCGCACATGCAGCATTAGCATTAATCCTGCGCCCCCTTTTTTAAACAACCCGAACTGGGGCCTTGACTGTTTCTCCAGCAGCACTGATCCTGTTCTGGGCGCCCACGCCGTGTTTACTGCCTACGCACATCCCCCCCCCCCTCCAAAGCCACTGAATCGCTGTCGGCTTCCAATGACATTTCTCATCCCGCAAAGCACGAATGACTAAAGACATGCTTAATCATGCAGCATTTTAAAAGCTATTGTGCTTATAGTGTAGTGAAGGTTGTCATGGTGACAGTTCATCACGTTTCTGCATTTTGGCCTAATTACCCTGAGTGCTTTGAGCTGACTGGGAGATTTTTCCATCCATCCATCCATCCAACTTCTACCTGACTTTCCTGGTGAGGGTCACTGACCAGGAATGCGACACAGATACCTGCTGGCAGATCTTTGGAGGCAAACAAGTTAGCTGGTGTTTTTGGTGACAAGGGCAGTGTGTGCTTTCAAACCAGCTGGGTCTCTCAGATGCGTGTGGTAGGTAGTGAGGTCTCTGACTGGTCATACTTTTTGTCCTGAGGTGGAGACTTTAACCACCACATTGACATGGATGGCAACCCCCCCCGCCCTCAAAACTTAATGGTAAATGGACTGCATTTATATAGTGCTTTTCTACTCCTACGAGCACTCAAAGCACTTTACAATACATGCCTTACATTCACCCACGCATACCACGCACACATTCATACACCAGTGGCGGTGGCTGTCGTTCATGCAAGGCGCCAACCTGCACACCGGGAGCGATTTGGGGTTCATTGTCTTGTTGAGGGACACTTTGATGAGATCAGGAGGAACCGGGGCTTGAACCTGCAACCCTCTGGTTGCCGAATGATAGCACTACCTCCTGCGCCACCGTCTTCCCCAATACTGGTCTTAATGGTTTATTCCTCAGGGAGGCTTATAGTAAATACGCACGGGGATGCATTCCTGTTCACTTCATACTTTTCTGATGTGGCTCTTTTGCTTATCAAGTGAATTTATCAGTGACAAGGTTTTTTTTTTTTCCCCCCTGTCTCTTCATCTTTTTTGTATGTTTAAAGGTATGAGTCTGACTTACAGTCAAAGGAGATCTTTATAAATTAGGCTTCTCTGTTTTTGTTCAGCTATTTTTTTTTTTGCTTCACATCCTCAATGATGATTGGCATACTTCTTATTTTTTATATTTATGGTATGAAATGACGATTAAACACTATAGCAGGTTTTATGTTTTTCAAGGACCAGTGGAAGGTTGGTGTAATACTGGGAAAATGGTGCAGCCTAAAAAGCCATCGATCCGTTCATTAGAAACCGGGGGAACTCATTTCAAGGACCACAGATTCGCAAATCCTGCACCAGGAAGGCACAAGCAGAGAGATCCCAGCACCAGTGATGGAGATGGCCAGAGCGAATCGCATCATTTATGGAGTGGATGTCCATTGGTCCAGACCTGAACTGAAGCCCCTCCCCTGACAGGATCTGACCTCTCACGAGTCTTGCTGTATCCACAGGGCGGGGCTTCTGTTTGCTGTTGCCCTCAGATGCCCTCCAGCCTCCATAAGAATCTCCTTCACAGCGATATCTAACTGAGGTCTCTCTGCTTTTCACTGCCTCTTTCTCCATCACAGGTTGGACCAGCAGTCGGGGAAGATCCGCTTGCTGGACGTGGGAAGTTGTTTCAACCCATTCCTGAAGTTTGACGAGTTCCTCACCGTTGGCATTGACATCGTGCCTGCAGTGGAAGTATGGCCCTTCCTCAAGGACTCATTTCCCCCTCCCCTATCGCTTTCCTTCGCTTTTTTGAACATTAATTGTTACTCTGATGTGTTTAATTTTTTTGCATTCAATGTAACTGAAGTGCCAGTGTCCGTTTAATCTGTACGTTTATAATTGAAGATTATGTGTTACATACAATTACATCACCCACTGCCTAAGAGGGGAAATTTAGTATTTGAAAGGTTGTATCTGGCTGTTGTTATATGTAGAGTTGGTACATCTGAATTTAACTTTGTGGGGGGGGGCGTATTGTGAGACGGCCTGCTGGGTAATATTGACAGAAGTTCATGTGAGGCGTCTTGGCTGGGAGACACTCCAGCAGATGCTAACCGAAGTTAGCAAGTCGAACCTGGAAGGGGGGTAGCAGGAGCTCGGATTGGGTGTGGCACCAATCTAAGTGTGGCACCGACTCGTACAGTGTGATCACTTTGACTGATCCAGGATCAGTTTCATATGTAGTCTACTGATGCATATGTAAGTTACTGGCTGATAACGATCAAGGCCATCATCATGCTCATAGCTTCCAGATTAGGCTCCGAACCCCTGTGACCTCACATAGGACAAGCGGGGATGGATGGATGGATGGATGGACGGATGGATGGATACCCTTTGAGTTCTTGGCTGAACATCATATAGCCAGCATCAGTCAGACCCCGGACTTCCTGAGGTGTAACTTTGCTAAACGTCCATGTGGATCACAAGGCCCAATTCAGGCGTGTGATCCCGCCGGCTGAGTGATCAGAGCACACGCTGAGGTGAATGATTTCGCCGCGGACTTTGACAGTAAAGCAGCACTCGTGCTGTTCTGCAGTTGAGCAGTTGCGTCCAGCCGCTGGCGGAATGCTGGTGATGGATGCAGGAAGATGAAATGAGGTCACCTGCTCAAGTTACCCTGGATTGTAGTAGCCAGACAACATCTGTAGCTTTTATTTATGTCTCATAAAAGCAGAGAGAGGCTCCAGGCTTCACCTTGACCTTGTGCCGTATAAGCAGGAGTGGGTGCAGTTAGTGACCCAGAGTATCTCCTGCTCATACAATGGCATTCACTGAAATCCATCACTCAGGCTTGTACAATTCTGGTGGTGAATTCTCAAATCTGATTGGTCAGAAGGGTGTTGGTTAATTTTCCATGACTGCACACGTAGTGCTGGTCGGGTGAATCACCGCAATAAATGGGTGCATGATTATAATCTATAATTCTGACTAACAGTACTTCAAATTCTATGCGAAGAACACAATTTAAAATGAACAGAAACGCTTAATCGTTGACGGAAGAGAGTAGTTCTGCAAATAGTTTTTGGGTCATGAGCGTGAAAATAATGCATTTGTATACCAAATGTGCGGTAACCATGGTATAAATAGGTTAATGCACTCCAATCCGTGCATTATATTATTTAAAGGCATTCCGCCATTAGCTTGGTAGAAAAAATAAATCAATAATTAATATAATAAGATAATATAGAAGTTCTGTCTTGCGCCCGTAGCCTCCGGGATCGGCTCCGGACCCCCATGACCGTGAATAGGACAGGCGGCTTCAATGCATGGACAAGCGGATGCATGGAATATAAAAGTTAATTATTAGTAATTGGTATAAAATGCAGAAGGAGGACCTTTTTGGGTTAATGCTATAACAAGTGGCCTTCTCCACAACTCTGCTGTGAAATTAATTATTTGCTTTTGTTTACATTCACTTTGGTTGTTTTCATTGCTTAGCTGAGAGCCATTCCGCCGTTCCGGATTGCTCCGTCTGAGCTCCGAGCTCCGTGCGCCCGGCGAGGCGTGAATGCTGGCCTATTCCTGGCCCTCCCTGTCTGGAGAATCCTGCTGTCTGTTTAAAACACCCATTAAGTTCCTTTAAATCCTCTCCATGAGCTCCTTGAATGAGCTGTGAATGGGAGTTATATTTAAACTTTTTGGTGGTGGGGGGGGAGCTTCATTAATGGCCCGGGCCAAACAAATTGGGACATTCACCGCGCCCAATGGTCCCAGGCGACTTGGGAGCCACAGACTTTGTAGGCAGCGGCTGAGCTTAAAACCTGAGGTTTAATGTGGGACTGAGACAGTCAGACCAGAGATGGCACTCTGTGTTTGTGCGTGCATTTGTGTGTGTGTTTGTGCGTGGTTCAGGTATACATTACATCATGGGGACCAAATGACTCCACAATTTGATAAAAACCTGTTATTTTTACGTAGTTGGGACCATTTTTTCGGTCCCCACAAAGGGAAATTCAATTTTATAAAAATCTGTGACTGCAATCAAGAAATTAAACATGCCAAAAAACTTGTATTTTGTTTGCTTAAGGTTAGGGCTGGGCAGGGGTTAAGGTTGTCACTGTTGGGATTAGGGTTTTGCCCATAGGAATGAATGGAGAGTCCCCATAAAGATATGGGTACAGGTCTGTGTGTGTGTGTGTGTGTGTGTGCGTGTGCGTGTGCGTGTGCGTGTGCGTGTGCGTGTGCGCGTGCGCGCACATGCACCATGGACTGCAGAACAGGAGTGTGCGGGGTAACTTTTGGAACATCATTCAGAATGCAGTGATGACCAGTGACAAAAGAACCTACAAATAATATGATCCAATTAAACTTTAATAAAAGCCTGAATTAAATCAGTGTTTTTTAAACCCCCCCCCCCATGTTCCCCCACTCCTTGCTGAGATGTGTTCCACGGTGCGTGGCAAGCGCTCATGACACACTTGGTCTCCTTGCATTCTGCGTGTGCCTGTTCGTCAGCCAGCTCGCATGCTGTCGTTTCCGCGTGTGGGCGGCTCGCTCCCCCTGTGACTCCACACCGCACCGGCCCCCCCTCCTGGCTGTCGTCAGCACTGCACCACAGATCTTGGGGTATCTGACACTCGGCTTTGATGCGCTCCATGTGCTAATTAGTGACGCGCGCGTAAGCCGACAGGAAGCCGTGACGCCACTCTTTACATTCAGATCAGCCTACCCTGCCCCCCCCCCCTCCCCCCCCACCTGAGAACCTCCAATCTCTATCCAGCCTGAGATTGGATGGGTGCCCAGGCCAATCCGAGCAGTACCAACCAGTAGCCACGTGGTCTCAAGTCAAAGATGGGCAATGCTGTTGTACCTTTAAACATCAATAATCATAGCCTGAGGTGATTGGTGCAGCGATGCAGAAATCAGAAGAATCACAATCGCACATCACTGCTTGCCTGCTTTAATAAGATGCTGGTCATTTGGTGTGGCTCTGTGGATTAGGACTCTGTGTCTGTGATCAGAAGGTCGCCAATCCAAGTCGTCTTGTTAGTAGAGTGATGTCATCGTTGTGCCCTTGAGCCAGGCTCTTAACTCCCAATTGGTTTCTGGTACTGGCTGACCCTGGTCTCTCACATATATGTCACTTTTTACCAGGGGTGGGCAATCTTATCTGCAAAGGGCCGGTGTGTATGTGGGTTTTCGCATCAACTCCCTAATTAGTTGACTAAGTAGAGGACTGATTGGCTCAAGAGTCCTCACCCCTGGGTTTGAACAGCTGACTTGAAGGTTACCCCAAAACCTGCACACACGCTGACCCTTTGCGGATAAGATTGCCCACCCCTGCTTTAGACAAAAGCATGTTTTACATAAATAAATGTCATTTGCTGTCATCTTCTGTATTTTAATTAAGTCAATAATTAATCAATTAATTCCCTGTATATCCACCCCCATGTGTCCCCACAGAGCGTGCACAAATGCGACTTCCTGAACATGCAGCTGCAGCCGCCCCTGCAGCTGGCGCCAGACGCGGTGGACGCCTTTCTGCTGCAGCTGCGCAGCCCCATCGACGCGCTGCCCGCGCAGCTGTTCCACGTGGTGGTCTTCTCGCTGCTGCTGTCCTACTTCCCGTCGCCCTACCAGCGCTGGATCTGCTGCAAGAAGGCCCACGAGCTGCTGGCTCTGCACGGGCTGCTGCTGGTGATCACGCCAGACTCCTCGCAGCCCAACCGGCACGCGCTCATGATGCGCAGCTGGCGCGTGGCCGTCGAGTCGCTGGGCTTCAAGCGCTGCAAGTACGTCAAGTTCTCGCACATGCACCTGATGGCCTTCCGCAAGGTGTCGGCCGAGACCAGCAGCGACCTGGTCAGCCAGAACTACCCCGAGATGCTGTACATCCCCCAGGACTTCAACAACGCAGAGGAGGAGGGGGGCTTCTCGGACGTGCCCACGCCCGGCCGCTCCGACTTCGAGGACGACCAGTTGGCGCGCGGTTTTGACGAGCTCCCCGACGCGCCCTACGACTCAGACTCCGGGGAGAGCCAGACAAGCTCCGCCCCCTTCCACGAGCTGGATGACCCCATCCTTCTGCACAGTTAGGGCCCTGCGAGGGGCTGGGGGCACGTCTCAGCCACTCGTACCCGGCCGCTTTGCCAAATTAACCTGCTGCGTGTCCCACAGTCTGTCCTTTAGAAAATGATGCAGATTGTACCAAGAGATACGATGTTTACAGCAGTGGCTGACCCACCCCCCTCCTCTTCCTGCACACTCACATAAACATACAAGCAAATGGACAAAAGTGCTTTTTAAAAGGAAGGTGGATCCCTTCTGTCTGGTAGAGAATTAGTCTCCTCTGTGTTATTATTATCTTCTTTTCAATTTCAGGAAGGAAAAAAAAAAAGAAAAAGCCTTTGTACGAAAGTTAGTGATGTGGAAAATGTATGTGTGACCCAGATTGCTGACGGGCATCTGCTGCCTAAAAGCCAAAAAACTGAAGCCACCCCCCCCATTCTTGCCTTTTTCCCATGAGCCCCCGAAGCGGGGATCTAACGTAGGAAGGTAGCGGCGACCCAGGGAGGGGTGGTCCTCGACTTCTCAGCAAAGTCGCGCTTGTGGCCTCTCACTCTGTTGAATTTTTCTTGACAGACGCCGTCGGGCTGTTTGCTTTTGAACAAAATGGTGTTGGCCGTTTTACAGGCTTTTTTAAAAAAAATGCGATACCTTTTAGCTGCCAGATACAGTGATTTTGTTTTTTGTTGTTTCTTTAATGATTTGGACTTTTTTTGTAGTGACTTGGCAAGGCACAGAAGAATCGAAGCATTCCAATTTTGATCAATTGTTTTTTTCCAGGCCGTTTCACTGGATGAATCAAATGTGTAGCTTTAGGTAACAAAGAAATCTTTAAAATGAAGTTAGCTATAAACTATGATCATTTCTTGACGTCTTTTGCCTGTTTTTCGAAAGAACGTCTTGCCGATAAACTCGTTTCAATCATATCTCCGAATACTGTAACTCTTGACTATTGTGTAGTGATGGTTATCCATATCAACATTTAATGCTTTTGAAAATCTTCAACTGCATTTTCATGCAGGACGACTTATCAACCAAAATGTTCTTTTTTCCCAACCTGAATGCTTTTCTGCGGACGGCGCTGTGTCACGGCGTCAGTGTCTCGTACTTCTTTGAAATACTTTTTACCTCAGTGAGGTTTTGCACTAATATTCAGTCTGGTCTCAGTGATAGCTAATTTTGTTTTGAAGTGCATTTCAGCGAAAGCTTGTTGTGACCTTAAAGAAGTACAGAGTACTGCAAAGCTGTAGGTTAGTTTTGTTATTGTCCTTAATGACACTAGCTAAGTTGTTGTTAACGTGTTTTGCACTTGTTCCGATATTACCACAAAACTCTGAAACTTTGTGTGCGTGTGTGTACTGGTCTGTGATGTTTAGCCTTCTCCCCCTTTGTAGGGATTGAAAAATATGACACGAGTGTAATAAGAGGAAATGGCCTGATGTGATCTGAAGTCACTTGCGACGATTTGACGTTAACAATCAGGCCATTCTGTAACGTGCCTTTCAAGCCTGCAGTGTTTCTCCGGATTAATCCGAGTTTCCTCTGTACGGATTCTGGTGGACTGCTCGACCGGACAGTTTACTCACGCAAATGCGCCCATTTAAGTGGTTTTCTCATCTGGGGCTCATCTGTTGGACTTTGGCTCACTTATGGATGGATGGATGGATGGATGGATGTGTTTTGAATGATGAGGACATTTCACGATGTAATGCCTTCTGTTTCCTGGGGATGGGGCTGTCTAGACTGGGAGTGGTTTTATAGAGATGCTCGAGGAAGGGTTTCATTCACATTACTTTGTATTAAGGTTCCTGTTTGGTTTCACTATGTGCATGAGCTCCATGCGTAAGAGACTGTGACTACCGCAGGGCACAGATGTGCTTGTAGTATTCAGTGTTTCTTCTTTTTATAAATGACTGTGAATGCATGATACTGTGTGGTTTATTGTCTCTGAGTGGTTCACATCAGATGCATCTTTGGCGAAGACGTAGGGGGTAGTAGACATGTTAATAATTAGTGATTGCACAATCCAAATTCATTTCTTGAGGCTGTGAAATGCACACAGTTCTCAAACGAAGATGACCTCTGTGTGCCTGTTTTCTAGGTGAGTAGAATGACACCTCCCGTTTCCCCTAGTAAGTGAGGCCACACGGTTCCTGACCATAAACAAACATCTCTTTCGTAATTCCTGTTAATAAGAACTTGTGAGATAAAAACAATGAACAATGTTTCTTAGAGAGCATCTGCATTGTAGACACACAACATGGGGTGGGTGTTTATGATGGGATGTAATGAAGTGGCCAGGGATCGTTCACCTCCCAGGAGAGCGCCTCAGTAGTAACATACAAATCTTATATTGCATTGGGAAAGACTGCAGCTCCATTAATAAACACTTCTCTACAATTATTTTTTTTCTTTAAGTACACCACATATCAAACTCTTACCTTTTATTCTGGGTAAAAGGGAAGTAGTTAATCCTTTCTGAGAAGCGGTAATTCAGACGCCATAAATGAACTGTTCGTGAACATGAATAGACTACTCAGTAATGATTCAAATTCCCTAAGTCTCAGTTGCTTTTAAAATACAGACAGGAGAACCTTCCACTTAAAAGCGGTGAATTTATAACTCAATAGAGATGTATTACAGTTTTCGCACTGTAAGCGTACATGTTTGGCAAACGCGTTTATCGCAGTGCTCTGTTTGTCCGTCCCAGCCACCGTAGCTCGCCTGACGAAGACATGGCGGATGACGAGGAAAGAAAGTTTTCCAACTGAAAAAGTATGGAATTCCCCTGAAAAACTTTAGTACGTCCGCTCTGGGTAAATTAAACAAACGTGTCCGACAGCATATTTATACGAGGGTTTATCCTTTAACCATGTCGAATAAAACTAGAGAAACTGGCTGCAAAAACCCCATTGCGTTTTATTCGCAATGGGCGTTAAACTGCTGGGTTACATTCCCAACGGCAACTAAGGAACGAGCTCGAAATTATTGAGACATTTCATATATCAGTTTAAAACGATACATTTTGGCATATGAAAGATGTTTTGTGAAAATTTCTGGTTGTTGAAAGGACCAGGAAGTAAAACAATACGGAGAAACCGGTTTCGATGGAAGTCTGCCGTATCATGAACTTATGCTAGTTACCTCGGTGACCAAAACGCCTGAAGTTTGGGATTAATAACTAATACCCTGGCATATAATACTATGCCGTCACATAACCAAATCAATGTCGAAGTTTATAGTTTCATAGTAGAACAGTGCGGGAGAAGCCTCTGCGGCTGTTGGTTAACCAAAAGGCTCTCCGAATGCAGGCTGGCTCGGTGTCAGCGCCGCTTCGCCGCCTAAGCTTTATATATATATAAATATATATATATGTCTCGGGGGGAGTGATTGCCCCTCCGTAAAATTTGTCGACCCGGGGAGGAGACTTTTTATTGTTGTGAGTTTTGGGTGATCAAAAGGAGCCCACTATAAGATTTAACCCCCGGGGGGTCCCAACTAGGGAAATTTTGCAGTGGGCACCCCTGCCTCCTCTGCTACTGACTGGTTCATTAATATCCCTGGCCGTCATTTCCGAGTCACACTGATCGATTTCTCTGTCTCTCCCCTAGCTGCCTAAAGTCACATACTTGACAAATGCCTCGCCATACCGTGGATGAGCCTCTAGGGGATGCTTTCCGGATGTGACGAGTCACCCACCCTCGAATGTTAATGTGTAGGTCATTCCGCTACTGCGTCAGCCACTGTCTCTATGCAGCAATGACGAAGCTGGAGGAGCTGAGCCGTGACGTCGGCACCAGTTCCTTGGTGCGATGTCTCGGCTATCTGTCCAGCCTCAGCCTCTTGGTGGCGATATGCCTAGGCCTTTACGTGCGCTGGGAGAAGACGGCGGAAGCCATGATCCTGGTCATCTTCATCCTGGGCCTGTTCGTCCTCGGCATCGCCAGCATCCTCTACTACTACTTCAGCATGGAGGCGGCCAGCATGAGCCTGTTCCACCTCTGGTTCGGCTTCCTGCTGGGCCTGCTCTGTTTCCTGAGCAGCCCGTCCCTGGCGACTGATGTAAAGGAGCAGGTGACGGATTACCTGCTACTGAGCAGCCTGGTGCTGAGGACGCTGTGGGCGCTGGTGGAGCGGGTGTGCGGCTGCACGCGCTTCCGGCCCGCCCTGCTCACGTCCGCCGAGTTCCTGGAGCTGGTGGGCTTTGCCGTGGCCAGCACCACACTGCTGCTTCACAAGTCGGCCAGCATCATCCTCCTGGTGGTGGCGCTGGCCGCGCTCATCGTCAGCCTGCGGATGAAGTCCTTCTTCGCCATCACCAACCTGGCGTGCTTCGTGGGGGTGGCCGCCTTGCTCTTCAGCTCGCTGGAGCTCTCTCCGAACCTCTATGGCCTGATCTGCTGCCTGGGCCGGCTGGTGTGCCAGCCCCTTCTGGACTTGTACTTCAGCGGCCTGTCGGTCACTGAACGCTGGCTGCCGCTGCTGACCTGTGGCCGGTTGTGGCGCCGCCTCTCAGTCTTACCGCTGACGCTGGTGGAGCTGGCGTTCCTCACTCTGGCCGGATTCAAGCTAGGCAGTCTGGGCCAATGGTACCTGGTGATCCCGGGCTTTGTCGTCTCTGGCGCCTTCTGGCTCGTCTGTCACGTGGTCTTTGTGATCAGCCTCTGGGGGTTCCACACCAAGCTCAACGACTGCCAGAGGGTCTTTTTTGCTCAGCGCTCCGACACCCGAAGCCTGGACAGGGTGATGGCGTCTAGGGGAATGCGCCACTTCTGCCTGATCTCCCAGCGCCTTGTGTTCTTCAGCCTGATCTCCACGATTATCCTGGCTGCGGTCAGCTGGCAGGTAGGCCATTTATTTATGTCCAATACAGGGCTGGAGGTCAAGCCTGCCTGTTTCTGTGTGTGCATAGCGGGGCTGATAACCGTCAGTACAGCTACAAGCAGTCTGGTAAATGATTTGATTATCATCAACAAATTACTAGGAAAAAAAAAATATATATATAATCCAAAATGAGAGTTAGAAATCCTCAGCTGAGATGTGTGTAGATCTGGATAGGGCTGTTCTTTCCTTTTCCAAGACTGGGCCTCTAAGTACTGGTCTGACTGGATTTATGGTTTTCTCTGAAGCACAGAGCGTCAAGCTGAAAGTGCTTCGGTCAGGGCTGGGAGTCCCGAACAGAGACGCTCAGATTCCATTCATCCGTCTACCATAACGATTTATAGTGAGCCTGAAGCCCCCCCCCCCCAACGCAAATAGAACACAAAGCAGGGGATGACAGTGTTTATCAGAGCGCTCATACACATTTTACCTTCATTTATGACAGATAAATCCACTCACAGTTTCATGCATATTTTTAAAATCTTTGACCTCTTTTTGCTGCATATTTACTGATTTAATGAACTACTAAGTAACTTTCCCAGCACTTCCTCTCTGGGGATGGACCCTTTCCCGTATCACTGAATCATTCAGTAGAATATAAGGGCTTTAAAAATGTGTTCACTTTTGTTAGGACAGATGATATCACAGTCTATATGTCTGTGCTGAGTGCAAATTTAACACCCCGGCAGAACTCTGAGGGGCTTATTAAGCATAAAACATGTCACGTAGCCCTTGTCGTGTTGCCTACAGAACCCCTGCTGTTTTTTTTTAAAATAATACATGCTCCCCCCTCCCTCCCCCAGTCCACCAATGGGATCTTCATGAGTGTGTTCCTCATCGTTCTCCCCCTGGAGACCCTGGCCCACAGCCTTTTCCACGAGTTTGGAAACTGCCTGGGGGGCACGTGCGTGGGCTACGCTGTCGTCATCCCCACCAATTACTGCAGGTACGTGGCGTCCGGCCCCAGGAGCGACCGCCCCCCCCCCCCCCGGCCAGGAGACCTCTGAGCCTGCCTGAGCCTGCCGCTTCCCCCCTTCTCTTTCAGGCCAGCGCACAGTGTTTGTCATGGAAAGCTGACTTCTTTATTACCGCTAGATGCCCTATTTTCAATTTCACTATTTGACTCCCTGAAAATAGTCCGGATCCAGTTTATTTAGGTCAGCGGGCAAACCAAGGATACCTAGACAGCACATATTTAAGGGGGCTCTTTCAGTATGGAATACTGTTCTCTGTCAGGCCTGCTCATTTTTGCACGTCATCGTCGCCAAGTGCTGCCACCTTCCCTGTCACCTGATCACCCCGTCAGCGTGGGGATTAGTAGAAACCCGGCAGGGCAAGCAAGCCGGCCCAGTCCAGTCCCATGGCGATGGGTTCTCCAGGCTGGATGGTCTCTGGTCGGGGGAGGGGGGTCACCGTGCCCCGTTACTGCGGCCTCCTCCAGGGGGCGCTCCTCTGTGTAATGAGACCTTCAGCCGTGACGATTCTGCAGTGGCTGCAGGATCCCCCCTCCTCGTTTTCACCTTCAGCGTCTGTGCCTTTGATCTCCGCGCCGCTGCTCGATCTGCCCGGATCGCGGTCAGAAAGCTGTCATCCGTGCATGCTGACATCGGTACGAGATGCTCCGCGAGGTCCGTCACGCCAGGGTGTCCTAAGCTCACTCACTTGGGGGCAATCGTGAGCAGCTCGGTCCTGATTATATATATAACTGCTCTAAACTGTTAATATTATTTTTTTTGTACCTGTTTACATCTCCATAGATTTTTTATGCCCCTTTCTCTAATTGTTTCTATCCTCTTTATACCTGCTGCTGGACCAAACGAATTTCCCAAAGGTGATCAATAAATCCAAGTCCAAGTCTAAAGCATGTGACACTGCTGATGATGTCATTGCACCTCCCCCCAGCCTCGATGGACAACCGACGCTGCTGCCCCCGGACCTGGTCCAGGAGCTGAACCTGCGCTCCACGGGCATGCTGAACAACATCCAGCGCTTCTTCTCGCAGCACATGATCGAGACGTATGGCTGCGACTACTCGGCCGGTGGCATGGTAGCCGACGCGCTACAGACCAAGCTACGCAGCTTCATGGAGCAGCGCACGGCCGACGGGCCGCGGCACGACACCTACGTCATCTACTACAGCGGCCACTCGCTGCGCTCTGGCGAATGGGCCCTGGCCGGTAAGGGTGCCGGAATTCATACACAGGGGCCAACCATATGTTTTCATTTGCTGAGTGACAGGGGAGGGGGCCAATCAACCTTCAGCTGGGGTCTGTACCCCTGTGGTCCCCGCCCCTTTCAGCATCATAACTGGTCATTATTGAATGACTATAACTCTTCTTTCATGTTATTGCATATAACCAATAATTATCATTACCTTAATAATGATTAATAATTATCAGTGCTCAGGGTTGAGGGTTTAGCTCCCGGTCCCGGCTCTGTGTGTGAGGAGCTTGCGTGTTCTCCCCATGTTTGCAAACTCTGGCTTCTTCTTGCCGAGGAAAGACACTGTTTGCAGGCAATCTTCAGATTGCCTTGGACCTCACGGGAAACGTTGCATGTTCGCTGCAGCCCTGCCCAGGATGAGCACACAAACTGAAATAATGTAAAAGAGATGGGTGGTTTGATGGAAGCTGTGTGTGCAGTTTAGATGCAGGTCCCGTCCTGCATAACATTCGTGTTTTCTGGGTGTTATTATTAATAGGGCACCTACATGAATTAAACATTAGAATATAATCTCTGGCAGTAAATGGCTTTTATGATGTATTTCCTGTCAATTTGTCGATCTGCACACCGAATTAGTCCACATAGTGTGCTCTGAGGACACCAGGTCCTGCTGTTGTACCACCGTGGAAAGTAGTTAACATGAGGGGCTTCAGTGAAATTTGCAGTGAGAGCAAACAGACATGTTTTAAATGTTTAAATAGATGAGACGAGAGATGGGACGGTGAAAATTTCTCCATGCATGTGAAGTGGATGGAACAGAGAAGGGATTTGTATGCTTTTAAAGTGTTAGTGATGCAGCCTGCTATGGAGGCAATGGGAAGAGAGAGGGGGAGGTATGGGGGGGACATTGGGGGAGGCTGACGCGATGTCTGGTCCTGCCAGGTGGCGACACGCTCCGCCTGGAACAGCTGCTGGAGTGGTGGAAGGAGAAGAATGCAGGCTTCTGCTCGCGCCTCATCGTGGTCCTGGATGACGAGAACGCCGGGCCGTGGGTGCGGGAGGTGTGGAAGGTGGACGAGCTGTACGTGGCAGTGCAGGGGGCGGAGCTCACAAGGCTGAAGGACGTGGAGGAGGCGGAGCTGCCGCAGCTCGGCGACTTCACCGCCCGGTGGGTGGAGTATAACTGCAATCCCGAGAGCGACATCTGCTGGTCGGAGGGCAGCGGCGGCGTGTCGGCCATCTACGGCGTGTCCATGCGGTGGGGCGACTACACCCTGCACCTGCCCACGGGCAGCGACGTCACCAAGCACTGGAAGACCTACTTCCCTCGTGCAACCTTCCCACTGGTCCACCTGGCCAACTGGTGTGGCGGCCTGAACCTTTTCTGGGTCTGCAACGTCTGCCTGCGCTGCTTCCGCAGGCTCAAGCTGTCCTGGTTCCCCCCGTCCGTGCTGGACACAGGCCAGGGCTTCAAGCTCGTCAAGTCATAGTGGCGCCCCCCAGAGCCCTTCAGTCAAATTACACGAGCCACTCTGTTACCCTCTCACTAATCTTTAAGATGAGACAGTCCTCACAAGTCAGGGCATGCTGCCTGAAGGTCATTGGACATCTGGATTGCTGTTTCGCGCATACCTCGGTGGTGCTGATGTTCTTGACCCCTGCTTTGTATACAGTGGAGCCCCAAGCTGCCAGTCACCTGTGACGGTAGCAGCTGATTCGCTGGGACACAGCTGGGGGAGGGGCTAAGGATGCACCGAGCCCCGTGACACACATTCATGTCCACCTCTACAGCGAGTGAATCTGCTTCTCAGAGCCACATCCTTACAACTTAATTTGTCCCACTCTTTTAATTACATTTTGTTTGATCACTTGTCCGGGGGGTAGGGCTGTAAGGCTGTAACCCCCCACTCTAGGTATGTGTCTGTAAACCTGCCAACTCCTAAATGCTTAGACCTCAGATCTCCTAGCCAGTGCCAAATCGGCACATTGCGGCTGGCGTCCCAAATTAACTTCCACATCCTTTCGTGGCCCCCTAGGTGACTAATCTGAAGGTGGCTATATATACAGTCAACACATACAGCTGATATATTATAATTTATTGAAACTTCTGAATTCATTCCAGTGATGGTTTTTACTGGTGTTGACCAAAATGAAGCTTCATGAACCAGTTTCTGTATTTTTTGACCCCACTAGATGGCGCCCTTTTTTGAATAGAGTGCACCATCTAGTGGGGTCAGAAAATACAGCAAGTGGTTCATGAATCTTCATTTGGCCAACAATAGTTTTTACCTCCAGCTTTTTCGAGGTATATTATGGCTCAATCTGCTTAATGGAGAAGCTGAGAAAGTCAGCCGTCTCCCCATCGCCGTGTTGCTCTTTTGCCTGGCCTCATCTTCGGTGGAAGCTGATGGACGCTGGCATCTTCCCTCTGCGTCGCAGTGTCAAGTGCAGCCGGTCCCAGAACTTGTCCTTTAACCTCACACTGACTAAACCCCTGAGTCAGATTCGCATTTTCCAGTTATAAAAAGCTGACAAGGGCTTCACGGAGAACTGATGTTGCATTCGGACACTTTTGACCCCATGATACCATCTGCGTGAAGGCAAGATGACTGCTCTTCCCTGAGGAACAAACGCTGAGCAGCAGGGCGCGTCTCCAGCTCGCTCAGGCCTTGGCCTTACTCTCATCTTATTCATCCAATTAGAGACGGTTCTTCGTGTTAAGCTGGATCTGGTTGGCTGCTCTTTCTCCACCAATGACAGGTCACTTTGAGTAAGCGCCGGGCAAGACAAGGGCTCTTATATGCATGAAACAGTCTGAATATGCAGATCAGCCAAAGTGTATTCCTATATATGCAAATACTTGTAACTACAAGCACTGTCTGCTCGGTTTGTGTTTGTTATGTTTTGGTTTCTTTGACAATGCCTTAACTTCTGTTTTTCTTTTTTTTGTGTTTTTTTGTTTTTTTTTTCTGAAAGGAAAAAATATAGCCAATATGCAAAGTGTCCATGTTGGTGGTTTGTGGCCCAGCCACTCAGCTGACAGCTCTGCCAAGGCCTCCTCATTCACACTCCGCAGAGTCTGCTGCTGCTGCTGCTGCACATTATGTGTGGAAAATGCCCCGTTATCTCTGGCTGAGGCTGATCCCCCCCCCCCCACCCTGACACCTGCCTGGCCACCCATCCGCTCTCATTCAGAAACCTCCCTGAAGTGCATTGCGACACAGTAATGAGGTCGGCCAACCCACCCACCCGACATATTAACCCCAAGTGTTTTACCAGTGTAAGGGTTTTTTTTCCATTTTATTTGTCCGACATCCCCTTTCCAATTCTGCTTTTTTGGGCGACAGACTAGGACAGATCCTGCCGTTCCCCAACATTAAATCCTCTCCCTTATGTGGGTTCGACACTCATGCGGGGCTTTATTGGGGCTGGAAGTGAAGTTGCAGGGTAGGTGTCGATAGGCATCTTTACCCATCAGTCGTCATTAAACACGAGGATTATGCAGAAGCAAGTACCAAACCCAAAACTGCTTGCGTTGGCACATTTCAGCCCAGAGGAAGTTGCCTCAGCATGACCGTAAGTCTATGGGTGCTCCCACGCACAAAGGTTTACCGTAATTTGGGTATCAGGTTTCAGGGTATTCATTTGCCGACCTGTGAGCACTTTGAAGTCAGTATGTGGTAACGAAGGAGCGGCTCTGTCCTCCCAGTTTAGGGCCTTTTTATTCACCAGTTGGTGTCAGATTTCTCTCACTCCTCTAGGAACTCGGTGATTCAGCACTCATTCCAGTTTCCTGACTATAGATGGTGAAAGATCTTTTTCAGCTGACTAAAATAAAGCAAGGCCGACGGTTTTTAGAATTCGGAAAGACCTGCATATGATTTTGCCGGAGTACGTGGACCTCTGCTGCAAGTCAGTTTTTTTTCCCTCCTCCCCATCTTGGTCAGACTGATTCCTGGCCATAGCAGTGGATTATAAAGCGTATTAGGTTACTGGCCAGATTCCTCATCCTAAACTGGATTAGGTAATAAAACTGTCTCACAAACGCTCGGCAGGACGCTGAGTCAGACCATTCCCCGGCTCAGGCGGGAGGGCAAGAGAGACAGCTACTTCTCACAGCCTGTTCCCACCTGCCTTTCATCACCGATCAGCTCCAACCAAAGTTAAGCATGGAGATGATGGACGCAGAAATAATGAGGGAATTACACTAGGGGACTAAGGAGGGGCGATTCTAGGATTTGAGGCCTCCAGTCGGGTTGATACTTTCAATCTGAGGAAAACCTGAGATCCGTCCCTAGCGAGTTCTTAACTATGAAATTTACATGGTGATGGGAGATTTAGAAAAATAATTTTTCTGGGGGGTAGAAGTCCGCCTTTATTGGGTCTAGGGTGTTGTGCCGAAGAACACATGAAGATGACTGAACATTGTGGGTTAACATATAAGCAGAGGGTAAACAGATGAGAAGATAATGTTATAGGTTTGAGGCGATGTTGTGGCGTGAGGTGGAAATGCATTAGCGAATGTTTGGGGATAAGATGGTTGACCCTCATGCAAAGAGAGCAACGTGGTAGACTAACACGTGTCTAAGTCGCGGGGTGTGTGTCAGAGATAACTGTGATGTTTTCCACTGCCGAAAGGTCACTGCTTACTCATTTGTGGCGTTAAGCTGCCGGCTGGTCCCGCGCGTTCCAGAGAAGAGAGCTGCTGGAATGGGAACGACTCTGGAGTCATGGGCAGTTGGCAGGTGGACAGCCTTTAGTTGGCTTTTTGAGAAGTGAAGGGGTAATGAATGTTCCTGTCACAATGACTCTAGTCCTGCTATAGTATATGTCACCCCCGTGCCTGTGTGTGTTTTACTGCCTTCTCACCAGTAGCAACAGCAAGTCCCCAGTAAGTGGCCCTAGAGTTGCCCGTCCTGGGGCTGGGTAGACTGCAGAGTCTGCACTCAGACCCCAAGATTCACTCACCAAATGGCGAACGAAGCTTCATTTTAAGTGGTAACTTTACCAGCACTAAAGGTTTCCAGCTGGTGCTCCTCGAGTTTGACCAGAAAGAGTCGTTCCGTTAAAAATTCCTAAAATACCCTGAGCCAGGCAGGTCTGTGAGGACGAAGCTGGCGGTAAGCGGATTATGGAGAACGTCTCCCATCGATGTGCCGCGCGCCGATCGCGACACGTTTCCCGCTGAAGATGGCCGCATCCCACAGCGTGCCTCCCCTGGTCAACAAGTGTCCTCCTGACATCGTGATCCCTCTCGGGAAGCTGACGGGTCCAGATTAGCCAGAGACGGAGGCAGAGGGGGACGTCATGGAGAACATCTTGTCTTCCCCCCCACTGGGACGTTCCAGTCTCCTCTCATTCTGTGCATTAGATTAGACTGGCAGGCCGGATGAGAGTGTTATTTTTATCTGAGCTGAGGCAAAGATTAAACCACTCTTTTAGAAAGAAAAAAGAAACACAGCCACATTAAGCATACTTTATGCTCCACAAGTTTCATTAACGTCAAGCGTGCGGGGCCATGAGAGAATTCTCTGAGGCTTCCAAGGGTATGTGGACCAGGCGGCCATAACAAACCAAGGCAACGCAGCAGGAAACATGCTGTTCGGCAGGTTATCTTAAATGGCTTTGGTGGTGCTGGTTTAAAGAAAAGAACTTTATGTGGATCTAATGATTTGACACAAAAACGAGAATTCCACCTTACATTGCGCGATATGATGCTAAATATCTACAACATTAGCAGAGCTCTACAATGGATGAGTTTTATTACCTTTTAAAATGCTCCCCGGACCAAAGTCACAATGCAGACTATAAATGGGAACTAGAGGCAGCCTCCTTTATTTTGAAGATTTCCCCTACCTCAGTATACAATGCCCTCACCGGATTTAGCAGCTTGGGTAAAATCCTGTTTTATATACTGTGATGTAACCCACTCTTTCTTAATCTGCAGATTGTAATCATTTGGAGCATAGACTCCAACGCCTCATCCATATTTACTTGTGTTAATCCAGTCTAGCACAGGCCTGCTATCAGTCAGACTGAATTGAGAATGTAAGTCCGCTATGACAGATCTGTCTGGGTCTCTAGGGCGATGGATGTTTGACTCGTGTCATCATTCGGCTATAAATCTCACTGCCCGGGGTTTTGGCTGCAAAGCGGTCATACATTGATAGAAGAGAATATGATATGAACAAGCATTTAGGAGCTGTTTTGAGTGCCGGATCTGAGATAAGAGATGACGGGACACTGGAAGATGTGGTCGACGGCATATTTTTCTTATAACGCCGTTTAGTATGGACCCACGTAATAGTGAGGTTGAACAGATCGGGAAGTACACATTGTCAAACGTGAAGGATGTTACTGCATGGAGCATTGGACTGCAAAGAAGTGTAACCATCCCATAATGAAATTTAAAAGCAAAAACACTGCTTTCATGGCAGTTTTCCAAGATAAGTGATTTTTTTTCCTCATTGAAAATACCCCTGCCACTATTTTAAACATCTTTTGTTCTCTGTGTGAGAGTTTGAGTGGTTAATCTGTGCCTTTAAGACCTTTCTACTCAGTAACATTTTGGATTTTTTGTGTTACTTTTTTCCACAGTATATTACCCATGGACATTGGATACAGTTGTACCTTCTTTTCATTAAAGCTTAAATAATGAGCAGCACCAAAATGTGATCGCTTAATTAGGGTGATCTTAGACTAATCTGTAATTTAATCAGATTTATTCAGTGCTCGCTATGTAATGTTTTTTAGTAAGGGATTGTTTCTGCTTCCCAGTATTGCCTGGAGTCCCTCTTTACCCCTGACCTGTGTCCTCCATGTCACATAAGGCTGTATGGTTACCGCAGGACCACAGTTGCTAAGCAGCCACCCCATCTTTCAACCATGTTAATGGACTTAGTTTATATACGGTGTCATTTATAATTCAATGCGTACATATGGGAGATTCATGGACAGAAAGAGATTCGCAACATTCAGAACTAATTTTTGAAAATTTTGGATATTTTAGAATCATCTTAGGGCAAATGTTCTGTCCATCCATTTTCTAAATGCTGGGAGAGGTGGGGGCTGGAGCCTAGTCCAGCCTAGGGCACAAGGCGGAGGGACACCCTGGACGGGATGCCAGTCCATCACAGGGCGGGGGGACACCCTGGACGGGATGCCAGTCCATCACAGGGCGGGGGGACACCCTGGACGGGATGCCAGTCCATCACAGGGCACGCAGACTCTCACCCCCTTTGGCCAGTTTAGTGATGTAAATTGTTTGACTGCATGTTTGAACGGTGGGAGGAAAATCCACACATCAAGTGGCAGCAGGGCTCAAAACCCGGCCCAGTCGGTGTGAGGCAACAGCGCCACCCACTGCATCGCCATGTCATCCCCCCATGTGAAGCATAATGCAGCTGTTAATTCCGATCAACAGAAATCATCCCCATGTATGTTCTTTCTTGTCGGTTCAATTTTTTAACAGCTTGTCTTTTAAAGCTGTAAAATATATTGAATGGTTTGATTTTGTATTTAACGGATAAATAAAATTCTGCATTCCGGACCATGTCCATCTTTAGGCGGTTCTCCGTTCCTGAGGGCCAGCACTGTTTCTGATCCAGATGGAGCTATGCTGCAGATGGAACTGCATCACCAAGCTATCTGCGTTGTTGTTCTAGTTACCGTCTTCCTCGAGGTACCGGCACTTCAGGTGCTGCATGGGGGAAATATTGACTCTGCATAACAGACACAGAGTTGAATCCCATTCTGATAGGTCATGCTTTCACCTTTACCCACCTTCAGCAGCCATAAGATGTAAGCTGACCTGGTCCGGGGCAGGAATAAAGTTTTGGATGGTGAACAGATTCTGAGAAGAACAGAATCTTTAACCGCCAAGTCAAGGTGGTAGTGAGAGAGATGCAACCTTCACTGTTGATCCCAGGACTCTTGGATCATCATGACCAACACCTTTCTGATAAGATCCATAAGCTTAGCATAACAAGGTTAAAATGCACGAT